GTGGGGACACCACACTGGAGGTGCCAGGAATGTGTCCCTGGTGGGGACACCACACTGGAGGTGCCAGCCATCCTTCAGAGCTGCAGTGTCCCATTACACACCCTGGCTCTGTCCATCTCCAGGAGTTTGTTTCTCCACTGGAATGAGGTGGGACTGACCATCATGGTGCATAGATCAGAGTAACTGCATGATAAATGATGCATTATGTATTACCAATGCCRTTAAAGTTTTACTGTAAATTTTGKTTGCACTTTGTATTAATCTTTGTATTAAATAAGATTTTTGTTTTCCCCCCCCAAGCAGTAGAAATAAGTGTGTGCATGTTTGTTCATTCCTCTGTCAAGTTACAAAATACTTCTGGAAAACTGTTCTGTGTTTAATTGTAGAAAATAAGATTTAAGAAAGACAGCAATGCCTTAAGCTTGGGCTGCTATTACATTCTGGGATGATAAACTTGGAAGGATGCTTTTTTTGTACTTTTAACACTCAAATGAAACAGAGCTGCTTTACTTAGCTCATCTTTAGCTATTAAAATTTAAAGAGGGTCCAGGCTGGAACCTTTTCCTACCCAAAAAGCACTTTMTGTGCATTGGATTTACTGAGGCTGAGTGAGGTAATACTGTTACCAAAAGCTCCTGACCTGATACTGCTTTCAGAGTTTAAGATGCAAGAGAATTAGGCCCAGATCTGCTGACTTCTCCCCCTTGGGAATTGTCGGGGTGGTACTGGCAGGAATGGGAATGCTGCCATGCAGAGAGGGGAAGGAGACAAGCATGAGAGAGCACAAGACCCTTCCATCTTGCTGCCTTCCAAAAACAATTTCAGAATTTCTCAGTTTCTTTATCCTGGTAAAGAATTTGTGTACAACTATTCTATTTAGGTTTGGTAGTATCAAAATATGTTTACTATTGTGTTCTTATTCACCTCTTTTTTTAAGAAACGCAGTTCATCTTCAGGAAGAGTGTGTTCTATGGTGATGGAATACAAAGAGACCCCACTTAGGCATTACTCAGAAAGCTAAAGCTTTATTTWGTGATCTATCACGAATTGCATTAACATGCTATGGATTTAGCCTTCATTAAGGTGACATTACCATGGAATCACTGAATCCCAGAATGGTCATGTTGGAAGAGACCACAATGCTCTGGTCCAACCTCGCTGCTCAGACATGGCCATCCCTTACACATTGCACAGGAYTTTATCCAGATGGTTCTGGAGTATTTCCAGTGAGGGAGACTCCACAGCCTCTCTGGGCAATTGTTCAGTGCTCGGTCTGGTCAGGAAAGAAGTTCTTCCTCACGTTCAGGTGAAATTTCTGTGCACCACTTGCTGCCCGTTGCCTCTTGTAATGTTGCTCAGCAGCTCCATCCCACAAACACTTCTGATCATCTCATAGCTCCACATCCCAACRAGTGTGGGGAAAAGTAACCAGTGGCAAGAGGAAATCTAGTGCAAGTGTAAACACCTTCAGCCAAGATCATCTTAAGTTGTGCCTGTAAACTTTTGGCACACACAAGAGAGTGACCTGGCATGATTTAATTTCTCTGCCTCATGCAAAGAGCAAGATTAAATGCAGCACTTCCTTTAACTAGAGGGTTCTGCCCTGAATTCCTCTCCTGCAGTGGACAGCACACAGCCAGCCTCTTGTGTCTGTTGTATCACCACAAAGTTCCTTGTGGTCATGGATGCTCTCAGTGTCACTGAGGGCACAAATGTACCCAGGTGTGTCCCTGCCCAGCTTGGGCATGACCTTGGCAATGTTCAGGGTTACATTGATGGGGGAGATGCCAACAAGACAGGGGTGAATTGTGAGGTGGTGGCACTCTGTGTGTGACACAGTCATGCTGTAGGTGTGGGTGTTCATCTCATCTGTCCCATTATCAGCAGGCACAGATCATCCAGGAGGGGCTAAATGAGGCCTTGCACAGTGACCCTGTGGAGCAGCCCATTTATCACTAATGACAGCAAGCTGAGCTTCCAMAACCCACAAGAAATGTTGCCTTTTCAGGAGTTTGCCTTTTTCTCCAGTCTGTGAACAACGTGAAAGGCCTCTAAAAATTCATTGAAGTCAATGTGGCCATCTTTGTTGTAGTCTATGCTGAGGATTAACTTGTCAATGGAGTCATCCTCTACCTCAATGCCCAGGTGAGAGGTGAAGAGTCTCCAKGTCTGGCTGAACTCCTCAAAAGAAATCAAACCTGAAGGACACAGACAGTAGATTGCTTTTTGCAGAGTTCTTTCCCTTTCCTCCATAAACAAACACACACATGCACTCTCCCTCACAGCAAGAGAGTTCCCTGCCATGGCTTTSATGGGGTTAGTGATTTCATGATTGAAGCACATTTTTACTTTAATTAATGGTTGAATGCTTTTGACAGTGGAATTGAGAAAGCAGGAAAGAGTGAGAGTGGAAGGGAGAAAAAGCCCTCAAAAGAGTGAAGCCAATAGTGGAGCTGGGTATGTGAGAATTTTTTCTCTTTAGGCTCTGTGCACTGTCCCTTATATGGTTGCAGCCTGACTGCTTAAAATATTTCACTAAAGTGGAGAAATGACATCACCTCTGGTTCCCCTATATTTAGAAGCCTTAAGGAGAAACACAGTGGGGAGAACAGGCTCCCTAGAGCTGACACAGTGAGGTTACCTGGACTTACCTGAGTGATCTTTGTCAATGATGTTAAAGATGATCTCCAGATCCTTTCTGTATCTGCACAGRGTCTCTGCCAAAGCTGGCTGAGCCTGGGTTTGAAATCATACAAAAGAAACTATTCAGAGCTTGGTTTGAGTTAATTTAATCAACAGAATATCTACTACCCAATTTCCATTTTCCCAGTTTAACTTGTCAAATGTTACAAAAAAAAAAAATCTTTATGCTTGAGTTCTCTGGAATAAGACTTCTGTGTCTTGCCCTGAGGAATAATCAGCTAAAACCCATCACTTTCAGATGGCAGGGCAAGGGGAGGAGTCCTTCACACCTCCCACCTTCAGGAATKATTTGTGGAAATACAGATAATCTGKGGAAGRTGGTACAGACCATGCACTCAYACAAAGCACTCACTGTACAYATGTGAATGYATCCTGCTGTTTAGGAGAATTATGGTGACACCTCATTACCAAAGCACTGTGCAGCCACTTGGGAACAAGTGGGCTCAGATACCATTGGAGATATGTACAGTCCATCTACAATTGTGACTTCCTCCCACAGGGGCCTGGACTGGCTCTGGAGCTTCTTTGAAAAAGAGGATTTCTCCTCTTTTTTGAAAATAAGATTTCAAAGAGGAAGGGTTGAGTGCTCTGGGCAGCATTTGTCACATCTCCTCAGCTCCATTATCTGAACGCCCTCGAGAGTCAATGGAAAGGAAGAAGCAGTTCTAGCATGTGACTCATCCAGCCTATTTTAAGCCTCTACCTTAGCAGGGAATGATGATTTGTACCCCAGCAGTGCTCATTTTCCACCAGTGACTATAAAAGGAAGCTCAGCAACTAGTTCAGATGTAGATGTCTACTTGATTGGTCAAACCACTGTCTTGTGCTTCAGACTGCACCAAAAGTTGTTCCTCCAAGACTTGCAAGGAGGAGTTTTCCTCTTTACCTCTTTTGTAGGTTGACCCATTTTCAAATCATAAAAACAGGACATGAAGTCAACTTCTCCATCTGGGTCCATCTGCACCAGCTGAGGCCGCAGCATCCTCCAGGGCAGCTCCAGCTTTAGGACAGACTCCATTGCTTCAGCCCAGTCATTGACAGAGATCCTGCCTGCCACAAGGGATCAGRTCATGGTCACAAATGCTACAGGACACAGCACAACTCAGTCACCAGCACMAAGGGATGCAAAACACCAGGATTTTCTGTGAGCCCTGGGTAAAACCCCTCATAACAAAGGAGCCGTGGGGTAGGACTGGACATTTCCACGGGTCCCTTCCAACCAAAAAGTCGTGATGCTATTATGATGCTCAGCATGTTTTAACACCTTTTCAGAAAGCTGGATTTTGTTAGGAAGAGTATTTCAGATTTCAGCTGAGCTGCAATCAGAGTGACATGTGGCTGCAAACTCAACCAGATGGAAATATGTGAAACAGCTGTTCAGTGGCTGAAGAAACAACACCAWCGTGTGTTGAGTGCCCTTGAAGGGCACAGTCAAGTGAGAAGCCATCACAGGGAAAAGYAGAAATTTGTGGTAGAAATCAACTTCCTGCTTCTACATAAAAGGTTCATCTATTAACTTAGCTCTGAGTTTTCCTCAGCTGAGGGGTGAGTGAGTGTCTGCTGGAGGCACAGGTAGGCAGATACCTCAGATACCTCCCAGACTCAGACCAGTTTCCCCAACATGAGACCCCAGTTCCCCGTGTGACACCTTCTGAAGACACTCCTGCATGAAGATGGTGGTGACCTTTGAGGTTCTGGAACTGAATTTACCTGCCCAAACTCTACCCAACAGCAAATATAATTTATTTGCCCATGTCTTTCAGTTTTCCCTATTTCAAACTTCATCCTCTCAAGTCATTTGGGGCTGGGCTCTTGCCAACACCTCTCCTCTGTGCTCAGTAGGAACAAGGTCCAGCAGCCTCTGCTGCCCTTGGCCTGGCACTGGCAAGGTGGAATCCTTTGCCATGAGGTTTGTCCCCTGTGCCCCACACACCCCAAAGCTGTTATCCCATGGTAGCAATACCTGTGCCATTGATGTCATAYTGTGCAAAAGCACTGGTGAGTTCAGACCTGTGAGCATAAATCTTCTCTCGTAAGGACTTCAAGGCAGCTGATTCAATTGTACCTACCCTAGGAGGGGAAAAAATCAGCAGGTTATTAAAGGATTAAAATCCTCTAGCATTTTATGCTTTTCAGCACTCATTGGCAGATTCTTATATCCTTCAACATGTAGTGTATTTGGGGTCTATAAATGACTCAAAACATACTGGAACACTGGGCGGGGTGGGGAGGGGGAGACCAACATTCAGGGGGAAAAAAAACCCAAACCAAACAAAACTAACAATGCACCATAAGAGTAATCTGAGTTTATGAGATAATTGAGTTTATGCAGGTAATTCTAAGCTGCTTTCCATTAGTAATCTGAGCACAGTACCAGGCATGGCAAAKCTGTCATGATAAACTTTTGAGACTCAGTTCCTAACAGGATTTGTCCAGATTAACACTGCAGCCTTAAAGCAGGCAGGTGCAGGCCATTTATGAGTCCCTGACAATTTTCTGTTCTAACTGCTTACCTCATCTAATTMCCTTTGGGAGTTTCTCAGGAAATCAAGTCAGAGCACTTGGAACATGTTTTGTCTACTTTATAGTTTTTAAATTGTAAASCAGAAAAGCAGGGAGAATCAAGGCAAACACAGCTACTGTGTAATGAGTGATGCTGTAGATTTGGGCAGGTGCAGATGCTGCAGTCCCCACTCCCTGCATGCACCACACAGTTTTACCTCTCCCGCAGGTTCCTCCTGCGTGTGAATTTGCTGACTTGGTACTGCACAAAGCGCGGGGTCAGCTCAGGATTCAGCTTGATGTAAGCACCCCGGTTACTGCCCTCCTCGTAGTAGTTGGAGGCAGAGAATATGGTGATAACCTGGTCACAGGAAACAAAGAAAAYGGATTCTTGACACTGATTGCTGAAACTGAWCTTAGAAAAAGTTCCAGGTTACAMAAYTATGTGACTACATATAAAGCTATGCCATTGCATTATATGTTTTTCCCTTTTGATTCAGAGCTCTAAGCCTTTATTTGTGACCTGTCAGACTTCAGAGGGCAGTTATATCTAACAGTGCTGTTTAACAGAAACCYCTTCCTAAGAGAGACCTGGTTTTCAGGATTCTTGCTGGCCTTCCAGTACAGCRTATTAGAAAGCAGAGCCAGAAGAGAAATCAGTGAGTTAAAGGTTTCTACAGTCTTAGAGCATCTCTTGTACTGTATTTACACACTTCTCAGGGATTTTGTTGGGTGTCCATTTGTTTTCATGTGGGTAATAAGCTGGTCCCTACTCCCTAAAGCTGGACAGAACTTGGTTACTCAGATCTCAGTAACTTGTAACATCTATCTAGGCCAAAGCTCCCCAAACCCAGTTTAACAAAGTCACTCTCTTTTTTTGGAATAAATTTTGCAGACAAATCTACTGTGGATGTTCCTRTGAAATTCACAGGAGAATTCTACTTTACATGGAAGCATCTTACCTTCCCATCATGACTGATCTCGTAACCTTCTGGCTTAAATTCATGAGACCTGATGAGCATCTTCAGATTATACCTGGCAAAGAGCTTGGCAGTGACATCAGGACCAAAGTAACAGCCTCCTCCTCGACACTTGTTTGGTGTGCAGCCATTCTGGCTTCTTGGGTCACTCCAGAGAATGTCGAGGATCTACAAACAGCAAACTCCAGCAAGTGAGGACTCACAGTAGGAGAAGACTACTATAAAGTATACTAAACTTTAGGCTGTCTAAAGTCCTGGCCACAGCAAAACCCCACAGTACAGGGAGAAAACACATTGAAGCTAACCTGTAGGTCTTGAGTTTCTTTCTTCCTTTCATGAGTGTACTCTTTTGGGCTGAGGTTTTTGTTCT